CTACAGGCTTCTCTCCACACCACCCACAACTCTTCTTCTGCTCTCCCTTTCTGCCTACCTTCAGCAATTTTTGCTTACCAGCTCCTGCCCCTCACCTGTCTGCAAGCCAGGCTGTATCAGCCCTTTTATTCTGTCTGTCTGGGCTCCTTCGGCCAATCACTGATTGCTGTGTCTCAGATGGTCAGTTCATTGGTTGTTCGTTAAAGACCAATGAGAATGAATAGATTGTCCACCATGAACTTATTTGATGGTGTGGGACACATTTGGATTCCTGTGTCCTATAAAATATGAGGTAGCTTCTGTAAAAAAAAACCTTACAGAGCCCCCCGTTCATCTTGAAGCGGCTCTCCCCATTTGGTAAGGCAGACATTTTTTTTAAAGGCCAGCTCTCTTTTTTGAGGCCTATCCTCCATGTCCGAGTCCTGCTTCTATCCAGTAAATTGACTGAAGTGACTGCAGCAGTTCAGTTTCTCTCACACCCAAGCCTACCTCACAGGGCTGTTGTGAGGACAAAGGACTTGGATGGTCCAGGCTAAGCTGATCTTGTCAAACCCTGGAAGCTAAGCAGGGTCAGGCCTGGTTACTATGCGGGCTCAGTACTTGGATGGGAGACCACCAAGGAAGTCTATGGCCAGTTTGGTGTAATGGTTAAGTGCGCGGACTCTAATCTGGGAGAACCGGGTTTGATTCCCCACTCCTCCACTTGCACCTGCCTGGATGACCTTGGGCAAGCCGTAGTGCTGATAAGAGCTGTTCTTGAAAAAGAGCCGTTGCTGTCAAGAGCTCTCTCAGCCCCACCTACCTCACAGGGTGTCTGTTGTGGGGAGGGGAAGGGAAAGGAATTTGTAAGCCGCTCTGAGACTCCTTTGGGTAGTGAAGGGCGGGGTATAAATCCAATCTCTTCTTCTTCTTCTGCTTCAGGAGCAGTTCTCGTGAGAGCTCTCTCAGCCCCACCTACCTCACAGGGTGTCTGTTGTGGGGAGGGGAAGGGAAAGGAATTTGTAAGCCGCTCTGAGACTCCTTTGGGTAGTGAAGGGCGGGGTATAAATCCAATCTCCTCTTCTTCTTCTTCTGCAAAGAGGTAGGCAATGGCAAACCTGCTCTGTTCATCTCATTGTGAAAACCCTGTGGCTGTGACTTGACAGCAGTTTTCACCACCATGTGCACCACCTCGAGCTCTTTGGGGGAAGAGTGGGATTTAAAAATGCTGCCCCCCATCTTGTTGAGCCTGTGGGCACTTTGAGGAAGGTGCCACCACAGAACGGAGCCAGTCACAAAATTGTGGGAAGTTGCAAGGCAAGTATTTTCCTGTCATGAAATCAATTGTTTTTGGGGTTCCCCTTCCCCAGTGAGGTGGAGGAAATCCATAGAGGGTATTTGCTTTTGGGTAAGAAGCAAATGGACTCCAGGAAACTCATTAGTAGGCGTTATGGCACCTATGGGGGCCATTGCATTCTTAGGTCCTTAAGTGCTGCATTTACAGACTTTTTGTGCCAGTCTGCGCACTTTTGAAGGAACTTCACAATATATCCTCTTATCAGCTCAGCAGTTACCATTCAAACCAGTCAACCAAGGTAGCACTAGATCAGTAATGGAGAAGGGAGGCAGTCTGAAGAGTAAGGAAACAGCAGGACTATCAAGCCAAAAGCTGGCCTTGTGGGATGCTGTGCCAGCAGAGATCCAAGTCTCCAAATGCCTGGTAGCCCTGCCTTTCCCATTGACTTGAGCGGGGCCCTGATCTTGGCAAAGTTCAGTGATCCGCTACCTTTGCTTGCTGGCTGCATGAGGGAATGCCTCATGCTACTAGGTGTGCCCCACATCTTCTAGACCAAGTTTCTGCTCAGACCTGCCCTCTCCCCTCTTTTGGGGGTTCCAAGGGTGATTGTGGAGGGAACTGGAGGTGGAAGCCCCCTGGCTCCACAAATCTGCTGCCTCCTTGAGTAGTGTCATGCTAGATGGTGGGTGTGGGATTTTCCTCTAGGTGTTTTGATTCCCCCCAGTTCCTTGTATTTGACAGGGAGAGCAAGGGAGAGAAGGAGGTTCTGTCCTCTGTGGAACCAGCGCAAATTCTGATGACAAGAAGGGGGACCCACGATACTCGTTATTAATCAAAATGTTGAAATCAGAATTTTATTAATTAATATCCTAGCTTTCCTCTTGGTTCAAGGTGACTGTTTTGAATTCCAGCTGCTCTTGCTTTTACTACTTTTTATAAGTGCCAAAAAGAAACCCAGTGTACTGTAGATGTAGTGCAAATGTTAAATGAATTCTCCCACCTATTCAAATGGGATTCCAGCTAGTGTAACCCATGGTGTTGACTTAGATCTTATGTTCTTTCTGGCTAATATTTCTTGCATTCAGATTGCTGGAGGTGCTTGTGGGTGTGTTTATCTGTAGAAGTTTGTGTTTTATCCTGTTTGGCTTTTCAGGAATTGAGTGCCTGCTTTTGTGATGCTTTCAGGCTGAAACAACCAATTGTTTTGATTAATTAAAATATTAAAATAAGGTAATATTAATTTATATATTAAAATAATTGATTTTATTAATCAAAATGTTGAAATCAGAATTTTATTAATTAATATCCTAGCTTTCCTCTTGGTTCAAGGTGACTGTTTTGAGTTCCAGCTGCTCTTGCTTTTACTACTTTTTATAAGTGCCAAAAAGAAACCCAATGTACTGTAGATGTAGTGCAAATGTTAAATGAATTCTCCCACCTATTCAAATGGGATTCCAGCTAGTGTAAGAACTGTTATCTAGGTGCTCATCCTTGGTTGAGATGATGTCTGGCAATTGGTCCAGAAAGGTCCATCGATGGGAGCTAATGATGGAAGATGTGTTCCTAATGGCTGAGGTCTTCTCTTGTGCTTTGGATGCTGGGTGACCATCCTTGATTAAGCAGATGGCTAGCAATTTTAATTGAGTGCCTGCTTTTGTGATGCTTTCAGGCTGAAACAACCAATTGTTTTGATTAATTAAAATATTAAAATAAGGTAATATTAATTTATATATTAAAATAATTGATTTTATTAATCAAAATGTTGAAATCAGAATTTTATTAATTAATATCCTAGCTTTCCTCTTGGTTCAAGGTGACTGTTTTGAATTCCAGCTGCTCTTGCTTTTACTACTTTTTATAAGTGCCAAAAAGAAACCCAGTGTACTGTAGATGTAGTGCAAATGTTAAATGAATTCTCCCACCTATTCAAATGGGATTCCAGCTAGTGTATGAACTGTTATGGATCTAGGTGCTCATCCTTGGTTGAGATGATGTCTGGCAATTGGTCCAGAAAGGTCCATCGATGGGAGCTAATGATGGAAGATGTGTTCCTAATGGCTGAGGTCTTCTCTTGTGCTTTGGATGCTGGGTGACCATCCTTGATTAAGCAGATGGCTAGCAATTTTAGATTGTTATTTTATCATATGTGTTTTAAATTATTAACCACCTTGGTGGCCCTTGTAGGATCAGAAAGGCAGGATACACATTTTTAAATTAATAAATAGTAAATAATTGGTCCAGGATGGTCCATCAATGGGAGCTGATGATGGACGATGTTCTCCTGATGGCTGATTATCTTTCTCAGGCTTTTGGAATATTTGAATGAACATACTCTCCTGGCTAGTGGGAAGGGGCAGAGGGAATGTTTGGAGTTACATTTACCATTTGAGTTGAGAAATGCTAGATGGCTGAAGATGGAAACATGTTGGGTTGGCTCCAGCCAACTTTTCCACTGGTACAAGAGAGGAACTGGCAGACTGCATGGATAAGAAGTGATACTGGTCAAGGTCTCAGTGAAGAGGGCAACTGGGCAAGATCACGCCCTGGTAGGATCCAACCCCTTGGTGTTCAGGGGTTCTCCTTCTCTGCTTCTTGTTTTTAGGGGCCTGCCCATTTCCTAGAGGCTTTGCTTCTACACTTGTAAAGCAAGCAAATATTGCTAAGACACCATTAAGCTTGTGTCATCCAAAGGGTATGTAACCTGGTAATACTTCCCCTCAGGGCTCTTTTTGTAGAAAAAGCCCAGCATGAACTAATTAGCATAATAGGCCACACCCAACAGCAGAAACTCATTAGCATATTAGGCCACACCCCTGGCGGCACAGCTCATTAGCACATTAGGCCGCACCCCCATGTTACCAGAAGTGTAGTTATCCAGCCACACCCACCTTTTGCTTGTTATTCTGTTTACCTTGTTTGTGGTCAAAACCAGGGCTTTTTTTGTAGCAGGAACTCCTTTGCATGTTAGGCCACACACCCCTAATGTAGCCAATCCTAATGTGTTTCTGCTGTTGGGTATGGCCTATTATGCTAATGAGTTCCTGCTGGGCGTGGCCAACTTGGGAGCCAGCCGGAACTCCGTTCCTGTGCGTTCCTGCCCAAAAATAGCCCTGCTTCCCCTGAACTTTGGCTCATTGTGCTGTTCCGTAGGTGTGGACATTCTCATATATTGGCCGCACACAGTTGCCTGCTACCAGAGAGGATCTGCAGACCAGGGTACTAATTGAATACTGACGTTGAAAGAGGGCCTATGATTTTAAAGGAAATGCTAATTGACCTCTCCTTCCCCTCAACTTGGGTTGGGGTGATGGGCAGTGAGGGTCTGGCATGGGGATTTGATCAGTGCAGACCTTGACTGAGAAAGGGAGTAAGGCCTCGTCTGCCCTGGGAATCATCCCTTACTGGAATTATACATTCCTTGCTTTAGGTGTCCGACTCCTCCGAATTGGGCTGGGGGGTCAGTCTCACAGTTTAAGAACAACTCTGGTAGGGATGAAGGAATAGTTGGAAACTTGATCGTGTGTTCCCATATGCCCAGATGTACCAAATGATGATTGATTTAAATTAGCGTCAATAAAGAATTAATGTTCCATTACCGCCACCACCGCCCCATGAAGCAATGGAACTTCGTTCATGATAGCATCAAAATAACTGTAGGGACAACCATAGTGGTGGAGAACAAACAGTCCAGTTTGCTTGCTTGCTTGCTTGCTTTGGGGTACAGTTAGGCCTCTCCCCACTCTTTCTTCCTCAGCAGCTTCCTTTGGGTTTTGCCAGAGATGGTCTTAGGTAGCTGTTGAACAAACTCTACCTAATTTGAAACAAGAAAAAAAGAGAACGTCTGAGCACATAAACGTGGATTTGGTAGTCGTCAGTTGTGAATTCTTAAGCTTTTTGGGTGGTGGCTGGACACGCACAAGAAGCTGCTTTATCCTGAATCAGACCCTTGGTCCATGAAGGGGGGTATCGTCTACTCAGACTGGCAGTGGCTCCCCTGGGGGTCTCAGGTAGAGGTTTTTCATATCACCAGTGCCTAGTCCTTTTAGCTGGAGATGCCAGGGATTGAACCTGGGACCTTCTGCTCTACCATTGAGCCACAGCCACCCCCACCCCCGTCACACTCACAGGGACCCAGGAAAAAGAAAGTGTAGCCTTTGCCTTGGTCTTGGAACCACTGAACTCAATCTAGACACCAAATGTCTGATTTCTGTTAAACGTGGTTGGCCTTGACCCCTTACTTAAGAGATCCTCTATCTTGCATAGGACTGTTAAACTCAGTGTTATGATCAGAAATGGCTTGGTTTGTATCAGAGAGTCCATCCTGCTGTGTAGTTGGTGGAAGAGAGCAGGGGAAGCTTCCTGAACCTTGACATCTGCATTGCCTGATGGATGTTGGCAGAGGTTAAAGGCACAGGAGTCCGGAAAGAAGAACAGTTAGCAGTTTTGCCCCCAGTTTTTGAGCCTCCATCCACACCAACGCCCCCCCCCCCGGCCAACCTCACTGTCTATCACAGGTGCTATCACTGAAAGACCTTTAAACAGAAAGTAGTCAAAATTGAGCCTGGTGGGGATGGGGAGATCTAACCCCTTCAAGTTTTCTTCAGTACACAGTTCTTAGGCTTGTGATGATTTTGTCCTGATATTATTTTCTACTTAGCTTAGACTGTCTTTCTGTCTGGGTTGCAAGGTGGCTACAAAAATTAAAGTGTCAGGTTTTAGTTTGTTTTTATTCTCTGGTTTTCTTTTGTGGTCTGCAAACAGCCCCCCCCCCCCAAGAAGCAGTATAGAAATGCTTCAGATGGGCCCTGTTTTGCCTTTCACGGGATCTGGGGCTCCCAACCTCCCTCTGTCCCTCCTCTCCCCAAAGCAGCAAACTCATCAAGGTGACAAAAAGTTACTTCTGTTTGCTACAGCAGCAGATTGAGCAAACACAGCCACCAGCCCAGCAACCTCTGGCAGCACATCATTTAGAACCAACAGTGCCGTACTTGCCTTCCGGGGATATTTGTATGGAGCGGTAACTTTCCTGACATGCTCCTGCAGTTCCAGAATTAATTTCTCCGTATTGTGTGACTGATAGGCAGGAGTCAGGATGATAAATGCCTTCACAACCTACAACCAAATCAGATGCAAATAAGATTCTTTGGTAATATCAAAATTTTATAGAACAACTTATATATGCCACTACACAATGGGGGATATAGAATAAGGTTGTAGGTGATCTTGAGCATTTGTAATGCATTATTAAAATCAGTTTATGATTCTTTGGTTCTCCTATTATATGCCTGTTTAATTAGTCTGTTGGGGATTTATTAGCAATATTCATTTGTTTAGCTATTTATATGCTGCTCCCCCCTCACTTTTTCCTCACAACAACCACCTTATGAGGTATGTTAGGTAGAGAGTGATAGTCGAACGGGGATTTGAACATGGTCTCCCAAACCATAGTCTACGTTAAACGCTACGTTGATAGTGCAGTGAATGACTTCTAGTAATTATGTGGGGGGGTGGTGGTTTTGGACTTCTAATAATTGTTGTTGAATGACTGGAGGAGCCAAGGGATAACTTTGCTTTTCTCATTTCATCTCTTGTAACCCCCCAAATCCCTCTTTCAGTTTTATTTCTCTGTTGTGGGACAGTTCTTCCCATTCATGCCACTTCAGTTGTTCACACTGAATCACTGCGGATAGCAGAAAATCTTGTAACTATGAACTTGGGGCTCTCTGCACACGAAGCGCAGCCGGTCCAGTGTAGAGATTCAAATGCCAGAGTAGAACCTGGGAGGCCCAAGTAGGAAGCTCAAGAAAGTGATCATAGGCGGTTGATTCCAGAAGGACTTATTTTCAAATTTGAAGAGAAAAGAGAGAAGATTGACTCCATTTTCAAAGCTCAAGACTTTTTGAAGAGGCATGCCAGTTCAGAGGAAGAGGCAGAACTCGCAAAATGGGAAGTACTGAGCGGAGAAGAAGACAGCAGCTCGGAGAGGGAGGACATGAAACCGGAAGAAGAAGGAGCAGCTAAAGGTCCATCTTATAACCTGAGGGATGTAAAAGGAAGAAACCCCAAGA